ATAGATATAGTTTATTTTTTATCTATCTATCTATCTATCTATCTATCTATCTATCTATCTATCTATCTATCTATCTATCTGAAATAAAGGAAATAGATAACACAAGTACAAATTTAAAAGAATATAAAGAATACTGTAGATAATACAGATTAAAAAACAAATAAAAGCAATAAAATATGGATAGATAGCCAACACATCTGTAATATATGACTAATATATTCTAATACCTCATTAAAACTTAAAGTAGGTCACGAAGAGTCGGACACGACTTAACGACTAAACAACAACAACAACTATAAGAGTTTTCATATCCATTTTCTAATCAAAATGTCTCTACAGATAGTCCTTGACTTATGATAGCAATTGGGACTGGAATTTCTGTCACTAAGTGATGCGGTCATAAAGCACAACTGCATTGCTTAGTGACGGTAATCCCTGCAATCCTGGTTGCCATCATTAACCGAATCCCATGGTCACTAGCTGAGGACCTCCTTGCAACTTCCTGCCAGCTTCCCATAACCAAAGTCAGTAGGGAAGTCAGCAGGAAGCTGCAAGTCCCAAGCGGCTCACAAACGGGCCAGCAGGCAGGTAAGTGGCTGCTGCCGGGGGGGGGGGGGGAATGTATGGGGGTGCATGGGTGGCTGGAGTGCAACAAGACTTGGGGTGGCTGCTACCAGGTGGGGGAGGGTGCATGAGGAGCCAGTGCGGTGTGACCCAGTGAGGCTTGGGGTGGTCGCTGCTGGGTGGGGTGTGTAGTGGTGGGGGAGGTGCGGTGAGGCTCAGGGAGAGTGTGCAGGGGTGCGCAAGGGAGGTGTGATGAGACTCAGGGAGGGTGCACGTGGGTCCACGAGTGTCGGAGGAAGTGCGGTTAGGCTTGAGGAGGGTGCATGGGGGTGCATGAGGGTGCGAGGGAGGCACAGTGAAGCTTAGGGAGAGTGCACATTGTGGGAAGTCGGCAGGGAAGGTTGCAAATGGCAATCATGTGATCGTGGGGCACTGCAACTGGTTGTAAGTGCAAGCTGGTTGCCAAGCACCCAGATCACAATCACGTGACTGCAGGGGTGTTGTGACGGCTGGAACTCCAAGGACTGACTGTAACCACCATTCAGTGCTGTTGTAACTTTGAATGGTCGCTGAATGAATGGTCATAATTCTTCCATAGAGAGGATCAAATACCTTTTCCAACAACAGGTATAGTTTATTAAATGTTTATTGGCATTCTTCTCTCATTTCAGTCATCCAATTATTCTGTGATTCCTATACATCACCATCCGCAAATCTGAGAATATTTCCACTCTGCAAGATAAACATTCACAGGGGTATCTGCAGAGTGTGGGCAAACAAACAAAACAAAAATCAAGGTGGCAATAATGACAGTGCAATCAAAGCTCTGCCTATATTTTATGGGTGTCGCACCTTAAATTCCCATAAAAAACAAGCAAAACGTTGACTCCACTGTTACGGCCGCCAACTTGACTTTTTTGACCATAGCCTGAGGGCACTCCTGAGCCTTCACCAAACTATCTACATTATGGCCTAGCATAATGTATGACCCCCTGACAGAAAGGTTGAGTTGATTAAAATCAGGCATCAATATTTATTACAACAGACATGTAACATTCAAACAATTAAGAGAGGGAAAAATCAGGATAACAGGCTGAAACAGCAGCACTGACTCTCCTTGAGTTGAACTCAACTATTGATGGTTGGCATCACCATCAATAAGATGCAGTGTTCGTGACATTGTTATCAAAGGAGTTGGCTGGTGTCTTCTAAGATTCGCCCCCCCCGCCCCCGACTTTCTAGTCTAGCCAACAATAGTTAGCTCAGGTTCAGTTGGGCAAGGAGAGAGTTCCGCAATTTGGTCATTGCACTATGGAACATAACTACAGAAGGGATCACCAGAACATGAGCATCATCAAGAACATTCTCAGGAGAGCTCCCAAAACATTCCAACCAGCAACTGCTTGATCCATATTCAGGCATTAGCCCTGTGGTAAACAGGGATATGGCCTTACTTTAGCAATCCCCTCCTTTCCCTAAGTTGCATCTGCACATACTTAGGAAGAACAACTTACTTGGAACTGCAACAACAGAAATACATGGAGTGCTGCCGTCAATACTCTGATCATCTTCTGATGATAAGCAAAGCCTTTTATGTGGAGGTTCAATGCTGTCTTCAGAATCTATTTCATCTGCCTCTAAATACACATGTACAGAAGGAGAATGATAGCCATGAAACTCATAAGGAAAACCTGCTTGGCATTATTCCTTGATGAACTGCTTACTGCAGATCAATATGCATTCATTCAAGGCCATTCTATAACACTCAGCTGGAAGTCCTATGAAAAAATGTAGTTATTGAGAAATGCCAGCTTTGTTAAAATTCTTGGGCTCAAGACAGTTTCTGAAAAATATTCACATTTTAGCTGTTGGTCCAGGGTGGGCCATCCATAGCCTGCTGCAGACCCCCTTTTTTCAGTCCCCAGAGACCAGCAGCTAACATTTGGTGGTGTGATTTTTCACTTAAAAGAAATAATAATAAGGCATAAAATAGGGGGGGAAAAGGAGGAAAAAACATGCTAAAAAGTCTGACCTGCTCTCTAGTGCCATAATATCATGCCCTCTAAAGATCTGAATGGCCTAATTTCTTTTTTTTTTTTTAATGCAATCTCCAATCCTAATATCTTTGCCCACCCTATTATGTATCATTAAAATAAGCTTTCTTTAATCCTATTTTCATACACATTAAACTCTAATGGTTTAGGAGTCGTTAGTTGCAATAACCAAACCAATAAGGAACCGTTTATTGTTTTAATGTATTGGCTTGCATAATTTCAATAGAAGTCATCAAACATACTGTACAATTAATTACAATTGGGTGCAAATGATCTGGTCTAGTCCTCCCACACCCCAAGTCCAGTCTCAAGCAGCTTGAGTTAAAAGGGCGAAGTGGTGCAACACACCTCTTCTGGAGACCCAACAAACTGTTTTTAGAGAAAAATGTCCAGGCTGGGTCAGGGTTTTGCACCATCTTCATGCTGCAGCAGTGGGATCACAGTCTATTTTGAGGAGTGGGGTTCAGGAAGTGAAATGGATGTCTTAAAGAAATGCAAGTCTTAACTCTCCATTGCAGACCTTTGTTTTTTTTTTCTTTAAGGGAGAGTCTTGAAATTCCTCTAGGAAACTGTAAAATTCCCAGTGAAAATGTGACATTAAAAACTGTCTTTCCCAAATTTTATTACAAAAATATGCCACCCTGCCACCCAGCAGTGCAACCAAACCCATTATCTTCGTCTGTGGAATAACTATAGTTTGAAATAATATGGAGAAAGCATACAGTCAAATAACAGGTGTTCTATACCATCCTGAGGGCAGTGAAGAATAAGGTTGCCTTGAGTATCTTGCGTCAGAGTCACAGAATTCACGGTTTCTACTGTCACTGTGTCAGACTCTTCTTCAACTGTGGTCATACTCAAATCTAAAAGAGAACAATCACAGATTAGCAATATGATGATTATTTATTTTGAACCTGCACACTACTTATTATCTCAGATTCAAAATGGCCCTTAGTACTTTGTGCATAGACCGGTAAGTAAAACAGCAATATTACAGACTTAGACAACAGACATATGCTCCTCACTGTGCTAGTGGATGGCAGTTAATTCCTTGCACCTTCTCCCCATTGCACAGCATCAGGCACAGCTCATTCATAACTTTAAGAAGAAACAATCAGTTACCCTAGGACCAAATAAGTGCTGGCTGCTCCCTTGAGGCGATGATTACCAAGAAGAAACTCACATACGTCAGGGAACAGAGGATGAACTAGAGAAAGTTGAGGGACTTAGATTAATAGAGTCTAAAAATGCAAGGGTTGGATAGGATTTTGGAAATCATCTTCACCCCCTTGCAGGCATCCACTACTATGGCATCTCTGAGAGATGGTTATTCAGCCTCTGTTCAAGCACCTCCAGAGAAGAAAAGTTCATCACTTCCTGAGGCAGTCTGTTCCGTTGTTGAACAGCTCTTACCATTAAAAGTGTTTTCCTGATGTCTGACCGAAATCTGCTTTGTTGTGATTCAAACTCATTTCTGGTCCTATCTTCTGGAACAACTCTGCCCTGTCTTCTACATTCAGATACTAGAAATGGCTTCCATGTCTCCCCCATTTTGTCCTTTTGATTTTTATATTTCATCTTGCTGAAATTCATCTCATTGGTTTCTGCCCATTGTTTCACCATGTTGAATTCCTTTGGAATCTTGATAAATGTAGTCTAAGGTCTTTGTTATTTTTGCTATCTTCCCTGTAAGTTAGCCCTGCAAGGTAGTCCAGACAAGAAGCACAACCAGGAGTACTAGCTCTCTCTTTATTGTAAGGTTAACAGAATCTTGCAAGACTGAAAGTCTTTCTCCTCTCCTTTCCTTTTATTCTCTGGAAAACTAAGGAGGGTCCCTTCTGAAATGTTTCCCACACTCTCCCTCCTTCTGTGGTCTGAGATATCTTTTACATGCCAGTTGTCCAGTTTGTGGCTCTTCCTCCTGCCTCCCAAGGTCATTCCCACATACCATTACGCTGTCTTTATGACATCTGCAAATTTGTTATTTGAGTTGTCTAACCTCTCATCCAAGTCATTTGTAACAACCCTGAACCTAGAGCACAGCCTTGCACTATGCCAATTGATAGCATCTTCCATCTTGACACAGAGCATTGATGGGCACTTTATGGGTATAACCATTTAACCACCTATAATGATAACCACAGTTCACCGCCTTCCCTCCTAGGATTTCATAGGAGACTTTGTTGAGTGCTTTGCTGAAGTACAATATGTCCACCACATCCCCATGGCAGACTACATTGGCCATACAATCAAAGATCAGGGCCTGGGTTCTCATTTTCCGCTTATGAAGATAAGAACAACATCTGCCTTTATATCCATGATTTCTCAAAGTTGTCAGAAAGCGGTCTTTCTTCGCAAGCTTCTTCAAGACATCTGTATATAATTGCTTTAGTTCTGGAGACTTTAAGTTTGTATATGGTAAATAGGTACTCCTTAATTATCTCTTTACTTGCCTTCAATTGCAATTCCCTCTTTGTGTTCATTGTTCTGCTTAGGTCCAGTTGAACAGAGTTCCCCTTTGGGGAGAAGACTGAAGCAAGAGAGGAGTTTCGCTCTGTCCTCCCTCTGTGATGTGGTACTATCACTTGTTATCATCAGAAGGCCATCTTTATTTGACAATGGCAAATCAAGGTGAGTGGCAGGGTACACTGTGAGGCTAGGCTGAAGCAGCCCTAACTAAAGATGAAGCAGGCATGTAAGCAGAGAGGACAAAAAGCCAGGGATCTTGTCTATGAGATCCCTTCGGGAAGATAGATAAGAAGGAAACAAGTTGTTAAGAAAACAAAGGAAAAATATCACCTGAACAAGACAAAGGAAGTTGGACCTGAGCACATGGAAAAAACCCCAATCCCAGCTATCAACAATGCTAGAACTGCTGGGGATCAAAAAGGGTCCTGAAGCATGCCTACTCCTTGAGTCATCTTTGAATCCAGACTTGGCAGCTTCTGTCCCTCTAGCTAGTGCCTACAACCTAGTTGAGAAGGACAAAGTAAGTGTGGATGAGTGTGTGTGTGTGTGTGTGTGTGAAAGAGCAAATGCACATTGTAACCAGTAAAGTTTTGCTGTCACTTTAAATTCACTGGGTCTCCATGTATTACAAAGAACCTGTTGTGCCTCAGTTTTTGGATGAAAGTGATTTGCGTGTCTATTATTTCCTGGCTGTTGGCAAGGGCTGTGTGTCTTGTCTGCTCTAGCCACACCTATCTGGAAAACCCAGGTAGAAAGCAAGGGTGCTTACAAGAATGTGAATGTGTGAATGAATGACAATAAGCTGAACCTGGGAGCACCTGTACCAACACACCCAGAGTATTTAGTGCTTTCATGAAACACAGAAATCTCATAGAGATGCAAATAATTTACATATTCTTAAAATCCTCATAGGAGGCACATGCCAGGCTGCTGGTGACATCTTGCTCAACAGTTTTAACAAAAATCAAGCAAGCAAGCAAGCAAGTGAAAATCTACCGGGGTGAAAAAGAAGGACTACAAACAGCTACCATACCAACAACTGATTGTATGTTCCTGAAGAACAGAAATACATGATTCTGGCACCACGTCAGTTTCAGTGCTCAGCTGAAAAATCAACTCAAAGCATAGGAAGATATATGAGACAGAAAAAGTCCCTCTCCTCTATGATGCTGAATATCACAACTATAGTGCAGACAACCCTGCAGTCATGCTGCATGACAGTGGTTGCTCCACTGTTGCCACTGTGAGGATTTTGGTCAAAGCTCATGCCAGATTGGATGAATGACCACCACTCATTACTGACTCTTTGGGTCATGCTGCCAACCTCTGCATTTTCTTCTGCTGTTTATATGGTGTGAAACTACTGACGAATAGAAGACATCTCAGTGCTGCAAATCAGGGGTGCGCAAAATGTGCCATCACAGAAGGTTCTGATCTTCAAATGTTTTGACCTTGAAGCAGATGCACAAAATGTTATGAAAGTAGTTGAATCCTGAGACAATTCTGAGATCAGAAAGGCTTAATTTCAAAGTCAGACCCTTTTTGGACCATTTAGAATGGCTAGTTATAGAGTCAGAACATCCTGTAACAGAATATTTTGCACCTTCCTGGTGCAATTATAAATTTACCATTAGCGTTACATGTTGGCTTATGGTTCTCTGCCTAATCTCATAGAGAGCATTCTTGCTCCAGGGTTGGATGAGTTGCTATTTCCACGTGACTTGATAAACAGGTGTGTTGGACTAGTTTTTGTTTGCAGATCAAAGTATCTATCTTGCAAGGACTTGGATAATATTTTGCACCTTCCTGGTGCAATTATAAATTTACCATTAGCGTTACATGTTGGCTTATGGTTCTCTGCCTAATCTCATAGAGAGCATTCTTGCTCCAGGGTTGGATGAGTTGCTATTTCCACGTGACTTGATAAACAGGTGTGTTGGACTAGTTTTTGTTTGCAGATCAAAGTATCTATCTTGCAAGGACTTGGATTAGAATACATCATTACTACAATATCCATAGGTGTTGCATATAAATATAAATCAAGCTCTTACCACTTTTAGCTATAGTGTTAATTTTCTTATAGGACTCCAATAAAAAGCAAAATATTTTCAGCAATGTATTAATGATTCAGATATAAACTAGATTAGGCCTATAAATTATTATTTGAAGAACCTTGATCTGTTTTCACCTCATCTCCCATGAGATCAAAAATTTGTTTTGTTTGGTTAGGGCTCTGTTTTACTTTCTCTGTTATAAAGCAAATTTGTATAGTTGTTTTTTTTTAGATTTTTTATCCTGCCTTTATTATTTTTATAAATAACTCAAGATGGCGAACATACTTAATTCCCCTTCTTCCTCCCATTTTCCCCACAACAGCCACCCTGTGAGGTGAGTTGGGCTGAGAGAGAGGGACTGGTCCAAAGTCACCCAGCCGGCTTTCATGCCTACGGCAGGACTAGAACCCACAGTCTCCTGGTTTCTAGCCTGGTGCCTTCATCACTAGACCAAACTGGCTCTCTCATCCATATTCATATTTTCATATTAATCCATATACAAATTTTTAAGATGAAAGCATTAGATTGCTATTTGTGTTGTAAGAGAGACACCAGATATTAAGAAAATTTAGATGTACACTTTTGATCATCCCAAGCAGGATAGTAGAAACCTCAGAAAATGTAGACTAAATGCCAGATTATAGGTTTCCATATAATAGGTTTTAACAAGTGTAAAAAAAATTGCAAATCCTTCTCTTTAGTTTGTCAAAATTATTCAAACTGGCTAGATAAAAAAAAAGTTTGGAACTAAAAAACACATCATTCAGAAAATGTCACCTCTAAACAGGAAATTTTATCCAAATAGTTATTTTAAAGGGAAGTCAACAATGAGCAGTTTCATGTATAAGTTTTTCAATATAAAGTTTGCCATGTTTCCAGCTATATTATTATGAATGCATAAAATGCAAAAAGAAGCATTTTAAACTGCAGAGATTACTGCTTAAAACTTTGCTGTCTACATCAGGTGATATTAAGAGTGTTTCACTTTGGTAGATTTTAATTCTTCTTTAGCTAGGCCTGAACTACTATCTCAGCAAACATTCGATAACCATTCATCTACTTGCCTGGAAGTGGGGGGAAAATAGATGCTTTATTAAGTCACAGGTGCACTGTGCCTGCACAATGTACACTGAGGATTAGGCTATAAAGTATTAATATTTATCTTTTTTATTTAGAAGGTAATTTTTTATTTATTTTAGCCTTTCTTCCTTGAAACCAAATTATGTGGAATCAATTAAATTTAAAACATTCACTGCCTTATATTTCTTCACACCATGATATAGCAAACACCAACATTCACTCACTTGAATGGGGGGAAAATACTTTCTATGCGCAAACTCAGAGCTTGGGGTTTTT